TACATTACACCCGTTGGATGCTTCTGATCGAACTTTTGTTGCAATTATAAAAGCATTGATTTCACTAAACAATGAACCAACTAATCCGAGACAACTTGCGGCATGTATTCAAAAGCATGGGTTCACGACGTTAGGGTAACTTTCTCTTCGATTCAATTTTTATATCATGTGATCCAGTTTTTATATTTTTTAATTTGTGAAAATTTTAGCGGTAATACTCCGTATGCCACAGTTTCTGGGCACATATCTACTCATTTTACTCGTGTACGAAAGCAATTAGTACCTCGTCCGGTTCTTGGAAAGGTATCTCATCCAACAATGACAAAGAGATTACTTTATTATTTATTAGACCCTGATGGCATTTTACGAGAACATCTTTCTCGTTACTTCCCATCGGGTGAACCTTCTATTTCACGACATCCTCAACGACCTATTTCACCACCCTCATCGAGGGAAGGTACTCCTCGATCATCATTTGAAACAGTTTCTGTTACCGAAAATCAAATGTCTGTAGAGTCACCAAGTCAATTAACAGATGAAACTCCAATATTATCTGAAACTGTTGTATCTTCTTCAAAAGAAAAGATTCAACAAGAAAATTTTGACAAATCTTTCAAAAATGAATTCCGATTTACGGATGAAAATGAAAATTTTGACTCATATACAAAACAGATGACTTTAGCGATACAGCAAGAGGTTGCAAACGTTGAAATGGATGTTACCTCAACTAATTTAGAAAGTTCTTCAAGCGATAAATTGCTTGAAAATGCTAATGAATCAGGTACCAGTGTATCTAATATTTTGAGTGGGAAGAAAAGAAGAGCTGAAAATGGAGAGAGGCACGATACAGTGTCTCAGTGTTTACCTAGACCAACTCCTGTTTATCTTACGTTCCCTCATTACATATTACCACCCCGTCGACCACGAAATCTGAGCTCACCCCGAATTTTACTTTCACCTGATATTCGAATGATCAAAATAAATGGCTTAGAGGTTTTTTCCACAAAGATTAAAGTAGGAGGAACCGAAGTTCAATTATTACGCCGTGTTGATACAAATTGTGTCGATAAATTTTCTTTAATACAAGTCGGTGAGCGCAAGCCTCGATCCACAGACCGAAGATGGTATGTTGTTTTCAATATTAATTTCATTAAAATATTGCTTCTTATAAAATGCGTTAGAAATTAATCAACTATATTTGCATATGTATTATAGGATTACTTTGGAAGAGGCACAAGCATTAGCGGCAAAATTAAATATAGAAGAAAAGGTTGGCATATTTCTCGATCCAAGACTTTTCGATTATTTTGACGCTGATTTAGATCTTCCACTACAAACCGGAACATGTTGTGGACCACTAGCAGGTTTTGCTTACTGGTTTCAATGTGTAAACCCCAAAAAAATTTTTTTGGGTTGAGGAACATTAAAGAATCTATGTAATTGCCAATAAAGTGGCGGAAACATCAAAACATTTCAACATTTTATGGTATCAGTTATTGCTGATACAAACAAAACATTATAATATTTAGACTTACAAAAAAGTGTGTTGGTGATGGGATGGGATTCCCCATTTCTTGTACAAAAAAAAAAAAAAACAGACAATGCTTAACTCTAGTCATCCAAATAAACTCGTATGAGTATTTAAAACCCTGTTAGTCAAAATTTAGTTAAATATAATAAAGAAAATTTGGCTTTGTATTCTAGGTGAGATTTTCTCGAATATTATTTTAATGATCTATGATTAACAATGCAATACTCATTGCCTTTTTTTAATACAGTTTTTATTCAAAGATTGCGAATGTTTAAAAAAATGTTTTATTTAATTCATCAGATTTTATTAAGTTGTCTTTTTATTATAATGAGATAACTATAATAAAGAAACTATTGTATATACAGTGTCGTGCAAATGATTTCTTATAAAGTTTTGATACTGATTTATATTCGAACCTGTTACCTACAATATTTTACTGTCATATGTTTATTCTGCCACATTTTACACAAGTTTATAAAATCATTACGGCGCATTTGCGAAATACCTCAAAATTTAAAAAATTTGACTACTAATACGTAAATATATGTTTTAACTGTGATAATCAACATTCCACAAGTTATTATGCGTCATTTAATAAATTCTTATGTCTAATCGGATGCGTCGGGGAGTGGGAAGATGGGTTAGCATGTGGGAAAGATGGGTTGGACGCGTTATCAGTACAGATCAGGGGTTCAAAATTTTTTTTCGGGGTTTAGCATTGATTGATTAATATATAATTCAGTAACTAAAATTTAATTTGGGGAACCAAATGCTTAGATTGGTGACAAATTGTCTGCTTAATTTCGCAAATGCGCCGTAATGTTTAGACATTCTTAAACGAGAGTTTGAATTGGTTTTATTTTTAATACATTAAATTTACTGAACACCGTATGTACGTCACTGACCATAGTTCCTGGGGCACTATTCCAGAAACCATAAAATTTCTAATTATGGAGTGTTAATATACTAGGTGTATCTTTACATAACAGCATAAGGATTTCATATACTAAATATATACCCGGAATAATACTCGGATCTTTTCATCATGACGCCATCAATCGTATCCAGGTCTTTTTCATGGGGCATACGTCATTCTAATCGCCAAAGCAATTATTTGACTGAAACATTTTTTAAAAGACTAAACTTAGTGATTACTTACCACATAATATAGTAGGGTGTTAAATCTTAATACATACTATAAAAATGCATGTTTCTCGTTAAAAATATTATAATTGATTGCTATTGTTATATCAAATTATAATTGTCACGTTTTTATATCTCCGTGCGTTTAAAACATTTAAGTGAAAATTTTTTTGGCATAGTCGAATATTTTTACAAATCGTATGCACAAGTAGCTTTCTTATTTAAATACATAATTTTATAACATACTGTATTGGAATTTTAACAATAAGATTTAAATTTTAAACCTTATTTTTAACTCAGTTTTTTAAAAAAAATACTGTATAATAAAAAATAAATCAATTATTTTTAAAATTTTGAAAGATATTTTAAACTAAAGAATTCTTTTGACATAAACTTATATACTATTTTTTTTTGAAAGAGTAATTAACTACATAATAATAAATTTTTATTGAAATATAATAAATATATAGTTATATATATATAATTAGTCATCAGGAAGTTTTGGAAGTGTTAACTTACAGGGTGTGATGTGTTGCTTAACAAAACCTATATAGTTTAACACTTTTTATTAATAAAATTAATGTTAATTAACAGAGATATAATAAATAGCTGATAAATAGTTATTTATCACATCTCTATTGATTAACACCAATTTTATTAATACAAAGTGTTAAACTATACAGGGTTTGTTAAGCAATGCATCACACCCTATTAGTTAGCATCTCTCGAAACTTCCTGATAACTACTGTATTTAAAGATTCTATTTGAAGATTATTTATTAGCTACTATATACATATATATATTTGAAACTTATATATAATATTAAGTATTTATTTATTTAAAA